TCCCTTTCTCATTATTGACAACCCTAGTGAGTTCTTCAAGGTCCTTTGAAAAGCCAAACCGACACTGGACTTCCTTTGTGTGCTTGTTTTGTCGTGAACAATATGAGGAAGGGCATTTAGAATGGCGTTGAACCCGGTTGAGGAGTTCTGCAAGTTCCTTGTGGGTGTCTTCCAGTGAAGGGTAGGATAGGGAGGATGCATGTTGATGGGAGAAAGCATGTACATCGGGATTCCAGGTTGACACAATTGGATCCCAGAAAGAAATGAAGTTCTGGATTGTCTCCTGATTATTGAGGTCCAAATCCTCAACAGATGGTGCATTCTTCAACCAGATGAAGCCATGTACATGGCTACTCCCCCTAAATTGCCACTCATAACTAAGGATTTCATAAGAATTAGACAATGAAGCCAAGTAAAAAGTTGAATTAACATACCGCCACCACATGTCAGCAATTTGGAACTTTTTTTTGAGGACCAAATCAACAAACAATTCCCATCTCTTCACAAAGTAGTATGCTGCAATGGCAGGATTGTCATTCAAGTCCTCTCGCCTCTTCCTATAGGCTGCCTGCTCCCCAACATCCTGTGATTCTGCTCACTGTGGCATGTGCTGGTGGAGGTCTGGCCATTGGAGATCTGCAGCTGAGGCAGTTATGAATGCATGAGGTGAATGGAGCTGGTACATCATGGCAGTGAGTTCACGCTGACGTGCCATCCAAAATGGTTTGGTTCCAGCAAGTTTCACCCCTGATCTGGAGACACGCTTTGCAAGTTCCCTCAGCTGATCAGGCCCAGCATCTGCCACCATCTCCCTTATCTGCTCCACTGTCCACTGCCGTTCATCTGGGTGAGTGGTAAGATACCATGAGGAGTCCTTTTTGGCCTGAGTGCGCATGATGGTGTTTAATGCCCAATAGCGAAAGCGAGGGTGCCTTGCAAAACGACCATCTTCATAGCGCATTAGGTGTGAAGCCCATTCAGAGAATGAGACTGGTTTTTGATGGGGAGTGTGAAAGTCTGCCTGGCCAGAAGGAAAGAGACTGGGGAAAGCCCTTGAGGCAATAGGGTTGTTATGCCATTCACTCACTGGCTGAGACTCAATGTGTGGCATGAGAATAGGTTCTTGTCCCACTTGTGCTGCCAAGCACAAGTTTTGGAACTCAGAGACTCGCTCCTCATTCACATTTGGGACAAACCCTGATGTGAAAAGTGCCCTCCCCCCCATTGTACCATCAGTTTCATCCCCATTTGATGGCCCTACAATATCATCACCCCCTCCTTCATCACCCACTTCACTGATCCTAATGGACTGCAAATGTCCATGGACACTGCCACTCTCTGGGAGTTGGGAAAGATTCTCCTGACTAATTATGACTTGGTGATATGCTGGGTGGTGCTCAACAAGCCATTCTAACCACTGCTGAACAACTTGGCGCCGGACATAGTAAAGATGCTGAACATCATGGCCAAGGACATGGTCTGGGCCTTCCCGTTGGATCTGTATGACCTCACACTCCTCAGGCAGGATGGGAAGCAACTGGCGAACTTCAGATGTATCACGGACAAAGTTGCAAATATGTCCAGAATATTTCATCTGTCCACCATACACAGTGTGGGCTTGCATGACAACATGGATAGGGGCAATCAGCATCTCCTCAATTTGTGTAAGCTCCAAGGAAGGATCATCCAAGACAAACTGTGGCTTGGGGCCAGGGTCCATGGAATTTTCTGCTGTGTACTTGGTGTCCTTTTTACACCTCACACAACAACCATTCTTGACTTTCAAGTCAAACCATGTCTCATGGCAGTTATTGCAGTGCTCCATCTGAATCTTCATCAGCTCTTCCCGGAACTTTGCCAACAGAGCCTGATCTCCTGGAGATACCGCAGATCAAAATCCCCTCCTCAAATCCTCATCATTGAGCCCTTGATCCCACTGTGAGTCTGATAGGGATGGTGGTGGGGATGGAGTCAGGGGAGAAGGTTCAGGAGAGGACTGTTCTGGTGATGAAACTGGAGATGGAGGGGGAGGTGAAGATCGATCTGCCATTTGCTCCTGGACTGCCCTCTGGCGAGCCCTCCTGTGATGATCCTCATCAACACACCTCTGACACCTGTTCCTATCCCCATCAAATGCAGAGACAGGTGCATTGTGGCCACGATTGCATTTTCGCATTGGCTCCGGAGGATTGGGCACAGGAGATGAAGGGGGAGGTGAAGATTGAACTGCCATTTGCTCCTGGACTGCCCTCTGGTGGGCCCTCCTGCGATGATCTTCATCAATACACCTCTGACACCTGTTCCTATCCCCATCAAATGCAGAGACAGGTGCATTGTGGCCACGATTGCATTTTCGCATTGGCTCTGGAGGATTAGGATCTTGAAAGGGATCTTGAGATGGCTCCTGATAGTGACTTTGAGGCAGAGATGGGAGTCCAGGAAGAGAGAGGGGTTCAAGACGCCCAGGGAGCGCATACATGCCATCATCAGCCCCACCTTGAGCTGGAGACCCAACACGAGTCCTCTGGTGCTGTCTACGTGTCTCTTCAGGAGTGTGTGAGAGACATTCAGAATGAAGTCTAGGGCCAGTAGAGTTTGGTGGAGTGATTTCTACACAGAAAAGTCATTCTTCATATCCTGCTGACAACAGAACACAACATACGTGGTGTACTCCTAGGTGTTTCTGGGGCTTTGGACCCAACTTGAGACTGAACATTCAGTTCTTGAAGCCCAAGAGCAAGTTGTGTCCCAATAGATGGATTTCGGTTATGTTGGGGTCTCTGTTGAGATGGCCCAGAAGAGTTGGGTGGTTGTTGGGACAGCTCGGCAGGGGATTGTGGTACAGCAAAAGTAGATTGGGAATGATTTGGAGTGGGAGACTCAGTTGAGTGTGGTGAACCCTGGCTAGCTGCATAATTCAACCTCCTCCTCTCATTTCTTCTCTTCTTCTTCTCTGCAAGGAGCACCTCATCCTCAGTGGGCATCTAAAATTTATTCAAGTTATGTAAGTCTTAAGATGTCAATTATAAATATTGCTGCACCCACAGTTTCAATGTGCACACCAAATAAACAGAAAAGGTCACTGTAAAGGCAAAATACCCTATTACAGGCAAATTGAATAAATTTCCTATCGTGAAGCAGGGAACAGGCTCGCTGCACAAGTTGACCAAATGGAGCAAGGCTGGCGCATTTCCCAAAGGGAAAAAGGGGCCAGGAATCCTGGCAACTTGCAGGCTCTGAGCGGTACTGGTCTTAACTGCCGAACTGATCCCAGTCTGTGCGGGCTAACACAGGGGCTGAGGGGCAGGGGTCGCACTTCAGAGACCTTTGAACCCTATAGATCTACTTCAGATAGTACTATTCACACAAAGTCCTAAGCCCAGGGCACTCAAGACTTCACAGGATGGGATGGGATGGGGTAGCAAGGAGTTGCACAGAGTGAGAGAGAGAGCTGCAGTAAGTGCGCGTGTTTTCAGCACAGCCACATTTTCGCGGAGTGCCATCTCCTCTTGTGTTGATAAAGCCAATCACTACATAAAGCTTAAATTTCACACCAGTTTAACAGATATGAAGCTTGAATAATAATAATGATTTTTTTGTATTTTTGTGTGCAAGGAGTTGCAGAGAGAGAGAGCAGCAAGCAGTACGCATGTTTGCAGCACAGCCACATCCTCGCGGAAGTGCCATTTTCCCTTGCCTTGATCAGGCTAATCACTACATAAACCTAAATTTCACACTAATTTAACAGATATAAGGCTTTAATTATAATTGTGATTTTTCTGTATTTTTGTGTATATTGTATGTTTTGTCCAGTGTTGCACCATTACACACACACAGTGCACGGTTGAGATGTGCATTTGGATCCGATGTCCCACGGGGTGACGATTTCTCACGGGGTGACGATGCGCAATTCACAACGCGCTTTCCCACGGGAAAAAAAAACGAACCCCCTCTGTAAACAAACGCCTCGCAAGCTCGGCCAATGAAGCTTTTGTCTCGAAGCGGAATGAATAAGCTGAGGATCCGAATCTCGGAGCCATGTATATGGGAATCGATGGACTCTTTTGGTAGGACTAAATTGGATGGCTAAAGCATCGCTTTCAAGCGAGAGTTGCATGGAAGGAGGGATTGGGGTTCTCGATCCAGGATGCGATTGCGTCTAAGAGTGCGATCGAGGTACTGCGATGACGGAATTACGGAGACCACGACGTCCGAGGACTTTGGCAGTAGCAGCAGTAGGACTAGAGACAAGTGGGGCCAGGGCCCTGGCTGCTTGGGCAGTGGCAACAGGAAATGGAGATACAACAGAACAGAGCCGCCGAATGAGAACGCAAGTGGTGTGTCTCATGTGAGCAATATTCCGTTCAAGTGTGACGTGCGAGCCACACGCCACGAATATCAGCTGGCGGTAAACACATCCGCAAAAGCCACAAAGGAAAAATTCCTTGGGAAGAAATCGACAGCTATAGGCGATTATTGATATTGATACAGTTGTTCGAACGAATCTTGCAACAAGGGTATTATAAAAGGCTCCACAGGGCAGAACCAAAGAACACGGGCGTTATCCCTCGCACGGCGCTGTCACACGCTTTGTATATGAAGCCCCCCAAGGAGAAGTGAGGCGAGGGTTGGAACGTCCGTAGGCGACGTCAAGGTGGCAACTGCACTTCCTAGCTCGGAGTTTAAGCTTAAAGGTTGAAGACGAAGTCAACTTTGCCCAGCAATATGGATTCCGCGGATGGGAGACGGAGAAAACCTTTCGCCTGACTGAGAACTCTTCCAGCCTTTTACTGTTGTTTTGACTGATTTATCCGTTGAACGTTAAACCGTGGACGCGGCAGAACCCGCTACTCAACAGCGCTGAAAATTCATTCGGTTCCGTATGGATATTACATCCAAGACTGTTCAAGTAGTAGGCATGATTGCTGGGGAGAGGCCGGTAAAGGACCCTGGGTTGCCGTTCAATGCATTTTCAGAGGACCTTGTCATTTTTCCCATTATGATTCAATCAGGACCTGCTACAGAGCGGGGATCACGAGCTGGAACTCGAACGTCGGCTCCGAGCGGGTATCTCCACAGTAAGATGCAACAACGGCGTGAACCCGTCCCGTTAAACAATCTGCCTCCTCGACGTTTTGTCTCTCGTTCTACTGATGTCGGCAAGCGGGTCAAATCCGCAGAAGAGGAGCTACCCTACATCTGAAACGACGGCAACAGATCCAGAAGAGGTCCTTCAACGTGACCTGAAGAAACACGTCGAAGACGAGCTTGCCGGTCACGCATGGGAGTTTGATGCAGTTGATGTGTTGTCTCCCAAGATTCTCAAAAAGGAGCACGAAGATCAAGATTTGCTGGAGCTCGGTCACTTTGACATACTCATTGATCACCCTCAAGTCATCTACGCCATGACACACGCGTTCGGGGACGCGCCACATCCCAACCCATTTTCCAAAGCAGACTATGATAATATTAGCCATTTTCTCAACGAGTGCGTTCGGCGTTGCCTTGACGCGTATGATTCGATTCTCGAGACACCTATGACTCCGGATCTCCAAGCATGGGAATTGCAGCCTTTTGGTGCAGCCTTTTGGCCTGCTCTCCTATTCACAAAGTATGATAGGCCGACTGGGGACAAGGTCAAAAATGCCGCACCTTTGAAGCCAGACATTGTTGGGGTAGCCGTCACAGACGCGCCACCCAATAACTTCGTTGCTTGCTGGAGCAAATTGCCCAAACAAAGCAAACGGGAGCCTCGGAAGATCGCCATAGCGGTGGAAGTAAAAGCTGACTGGAAGGACATGCTGCTCCAGAGCACTACTTATGGACGTGCGCAATATAATGACACTCCATTGCGTACATTCACCGTAATCGTCGCCATCAATCATGCTGCCGAAGCCCTCCGTGTTCTCATCTTCCACCGCGGTGGCCTCTCCGCGAGCAAGGAATTGAGGTTGACAACGAAAGACTGGAAAGCCCACAGCATCCCTCAGTTCATAAAGGTCTTGCTGAGTATTTTGCTCTGGCAGACGCCTGGCGACGCTGGGTATCCAGAGTTCACGGATACGGAGAAATTTGTGTTCCCTTCTGGAGAGGATAACATCGTCCAAGGGATTCAAAAGGAAGTGCTCCACAACCGCCAATCATCCTGTGGCCGTAATACCTTCGTGGCATTGATGCAGCCTTTCTCCTCGTTGGACAACGAAGCAATTTCCCCAACTCTTTTGGCCTCAGGAACGGCCAAGCCGTCCACCGGTAAAACGTCGACGCATGTTTCCACTGATACTCGTCCACCGATGGAACAATCGCAACTACCAAAGCGGAAGCTCGAGGCAGAATCCCTGCCAGGTAAGTCAGCTTATATCTTCTGTGAATGGCGGCCTATCGTTGTCAGCGGTGGCGCCGAAGAAACTTAAATTGGAGCAAATCTCCACGAAGGATGACGACAGCGATGAATACGATATAAGTAAGTGAAAGGCCGGTTATACTTGGTGAAATATGACAAGCACAATTTTAGTATCTCCATCGCCATACAACTTCAATGGTTCATTCAATATCCGATTCCGTGACCACCGAGCGATTAGGAAGAAAAGGGTATACGAAAAAGTGTCCGAATCCTTCATCATGAAAGGCTCTTGGCCTCCCCGTGCGAAGAAAGATGTGGAGCACAACATGTACCAGGCTTCAAAGGGCGAATTCGGAACCGCGACTCTCCTCTCGTCGCATGAGCCGCTCAATTCCAGAGGTTGTAAATCGACCAATTCATACAATTCATACTTCCTTCCAGGTCCCAATTTGAAGTTCAGCGATTTTCATCTCAAGGATATCGGTTCCATCTGTCCGGAAGAACCGGATTACCGTACTTTGGCGGTGACCCTTCTTCGGGATCAAGGCTGCAGCCTCGAATACTGCGATACCGCTTGGGATTTGTGCATTTGTCTTGCGCATGCTATGCTCGGTATGCATTGCAATTCGCTCTCCTCTCCCGAAGACCCGGTTAACCTTCGTAGGATGGCTTTCGACATATCAATGCGGGTATATGCAACGAGATGTTAGTATCGGGAATGTTCTCAAGCTGACGCAACCCATCAAAACGGCACCATTCAATATCAACAAGTTACACGAGTTTCACGACGCCATTATGCGTGACAATAAGAGTGTGGGCGAACTCAGTGATGCGGTGCGGGACAAAGTCATGGCATTGGACTTGGAGGGAGGGATCCATGATTCAAAAACAGCTCAGGAGGCAAAGGATGAGGTCAGGAAGGTGATGTCCGCTGCCGAGGCTCTGCAGGGGGGAATTGCGGAACTAGGGCTGTCTGTCGATGCGACCGAGTGCTGGGCAATAATTTCAGATGGCGATCTCGCATCGTACATCCCCACCTACTTGACTAGAACAGTCACTGCGGAATCAATATCAGTAAGTTACTATATTGAGCCAACGGTACATGCACTGGATTTTCTTGCAGGGAACCTATGAGTTCATGTCCCCTGGTGTCCATTTGGCCATAGAAAAAAAAACTCCGTACCTCCACAGTCCATTGGATGAGATGTTTTCGTTCTTCTATGTTGCGTTGTGGGCGACCTTCTGGAATATCGAAAAAGGTCATACCCCGGATGAAGATCTTTGGCGTGATGGCTTACGAAGTAAGGAACGTGATGCCCGAGTGGTTGGCCTTCTGGTCGAGCGCTTCACGGAAGCTTCCCAAACATATGCTCCGATTGCCGCTGGGATGCTCCCTGTTCTGGGTGATTGGTGGGGAGGCTTTCGCAGTTGCGGGACTCGTTCATTGCGGCCCTGCAGGCGAGTCGAGGTATTCTTCGCTTGGTATACTTTGAACAGTTGGCATATCGTGGCGTTGCAGACTTCATCCAAATTGTAAATGAGCATTGGTTGAATTTCTAGCTCATTGCGACATCATAACAATAAAGATGTGGCGAACCGCGCCGAGCTTCGCAGAGCGTTTCAAATGCTCAACGAAGGCATTTTTGGAAACTGCTTTACTTGGCATCGTCCAATGAATTGCATAATCCTTACGCAAATCCTAGCAGGTCGACTTTGAAAAGGTCCCTGCTCCTGGATCCTCATCCGGCGATCCTCAACGGCCGCTTTCTTCAGCCCCCTGAACTCAAATCCTTCTTGCAAGTCCTCAGATTACTCATCGCAATAGACAGCCTGGGTATGACCTGGGCCCTCTGGCGGCTGCTCGGACATTTCCTGCTGGCTCCTATGTTTTGGATAAACGCCCATCTCGCTTGGATCGCGCGGCTCGGTGGCTCCGGCCCCAACCGCGACAGATTGGAGGTGACTGTGCCCTTTGACATCTCGGCCGATAACTCTCAACCCACCGCATATTGCATCTCCAAATGCCGTTCGCGATGGCGATGTGAACGGTTACACGCAACTAAGAGGTGAAGGCATCAATATGCGTCCTTTGTCAGAACTCAAGACCACACCATCACCCGTCGCCGAAAGAAAATCATCATCAGTGCCAGAAAGCTGGTTCTCCAAACTGCCGGTTCTGCGCTCAGATTTTCTCCTCTTCTTCTGACTTAGCTCCAGATATACGAGGTTTGCGAATGATGATAATTGTGGTGGGTGATACTTGCTCACTTTCCTGCTGTGGATTTCCAATCCACGTAGACTGCCGATGGAAATGACGAAGATCAAATACCTCCTGACAGAATTTCTCTGATCAATGGATTCTGCTTGTACGTATATGTACGAGTTTCCTTGGGTACGTATTTTATCTCTAATCCTGCTGGCAGGGACCTGGAAGGGCAGATCGAGTCGCTCAGACTCGAGCCCCAAAAGGTCACAAAGAGAGCGGTGTTAGCGAGCGAGATAGCCCAGAAAATAAACGACGTGAGGGCCTGTATCAGTAATGCTCTCTCCCGTTTCGCTGTTCGTTAAGCCTGCAATCCAAGCAAGATGTTCAACTAACCCTTCCCGCCCTAGACAGCAGCAACAACCTTGAACCTCCTTCATACGATTCAAGTATCAATTGAATGTTTGTCTCATTTGCTTTATTCCAAACCTGTTAGCTCAGTAACATTTTCAGGTGAACTCTCGAAACTCCCAAAAGCGAATGCCGAATACTACGTTAAAAGCAAACCAGAATGTCAACCACACGCAACAAAATCCGGAATTCAATCTGATGGAACCCAAGAATCGATTTGTCTAGTTACGTGGTTCTGGAACAGGGAAGACCGCGGTATTGCTTCCACCTTAAAAGCCGCGGTGCTTTGGCGGCGCCGTTCTTTTGGGATAAGAATCGAAAAGGCACTGGACTGGACTCCATTGAACGCTTTGGAGAGTGTTACGGGTTCCGTTCCAGAGAGGCAGATGAAGGTTTGGGTCATTGACCCCATGCGTGAACTCAAGGATGTGTTGTCTTCAGGGAAGCATCGCTCCGTCATCGTCTTGGATGGGCTCCATGAATGTGGTGATCTAGAGGTACTTGAATCATTGGTGAAGCTCGTACTTATGCTCCCACCAATGTTCACCGTACTGGTTAGCTGTAGTCCTGAGAGGCTGGTGGTTTCGGCTTGGGGCGAATCTTAGGATCAGAGTCTCAATGCATCGTAGTGGAAACCACCAGAGAAAGATCTCAACGCTTTTGCTTTTGCTTGTCGTGGATTACCCATCGTGGCCTCGATCCGAATTTAGGATGTCCAGCTTCAGACTCGGCATGACCGTACACTCCAATCGGAGTTTGTGCAATCTCACTAATACGCCAGCAGATCCCAACTCCGAGTATCTGCAAATCCTTCATCGCGCCTATATTGTGAATGGCATCATTGAGCAGAACGAACTCAACATCCCCACTGAGCGTCCCTTGGGAGATAAAAAGAAGTGTCCTACCATTCAAAGTCCGGGTTGTATTGATGGTGAGCAGCCTAGAACGGCGATCGGATGCCGAGGTACGATGGGCCTTACTGCCCTCAGGCTGGGAGGGATGGAACTCGATTCGTGATCCAAGGTGGGATGAAAGCACCAATCGTCATTGACATCAGCCAAGTTGTTTAGTGGTTCCGTGAATTTCTGCTATAGAATGTCGTTTACTCAGTAACTCTTTTGATGTTGCAATACCTTTCGGATATTATGTACGGCCTAGGTGCATGGGACAGTTTTGCAAAGTCTCGTCATATTCATTTAACAGGCTGTCGTCATTCTGCATCTAAGGGGATGAAAGGAGGCATTGCATCTATAGAACCCTTCAGGAATCGATGACGCCGATTGGTAGTTACACAAAGCCCTAAGCTGAGGCATTCACTAAGTGGGGTGCGGGAAATCGTTACAACCTCGTTAGAGATATACTCGTGCCTCGTATGGTCTGAGATTGACCAAAGTTGGAGATGTGTTTTCCAGTGTTTCGTCCGTGTTCTCGTAATTTGACAATTGAAGCTTTAATCCTTTAGGAATCTTGCTGTCTTGGGGGAAGGAAAGTCACATTGATGCCGTTGAAGTTGATCACTATAATAGCGGTTACATCGCCGTGTTGACGCTCGATTGCGAAAACTCTTTCATCCTCGGGGGATATGAGGCGGAAACTTCCATGGATCTGAAGATCAGTTCGTCTTGTAAGATGCTCTTGTCGAGGTGAAACAAAATTCCCACGTACCAGGACTGGATGAGCTTTCCTGAATGCTAGCGCTCGTTTCCAGAAGAATCGTACGCTGTTTGGATCGTTCATCTGTTGGGTAGCATTCCTGAGTGTAGTCATCGTTAACCCTCATCCAGGGGGTTGCATTCTCTGATGTGAACCCAGCGTGCGGCGAATCGTCCCACTAAATCGGAAAGTAGACCAGTTAGTGATATTTGTGCATCGAATTTGATCGGAAGGTCTGTTCTCACTTGGACTGGAGTCCGGGCGTTGTCTCGGGCTTTCTTTCGGAGGTCTTTAAGGATATCGGACATGTCTGGATTCTCTGAATTTTCGCGACGTTTCTCGAGAATCCTGGTATGGGAGCGAAATAATAAATGAAGCTGAAACAGGGGTGGGACGAGTAAGTTATCTTACGCTTTCCAGTATGATTGAGTCGCACATCTTTATATTCCTCGATCCCCCATGAAGGCGGCATGTTGGCCATACCCAACTCCTCCCCCTGATAAACATAGATCGTTCCTCCCTGACATATCTGACCCACAGCCAGCATCTTCGCAGAAATACTTCTATACTCGGCCGAATCATTGCCAAAACGCGACACTGATCTCCCTTGATCGTGATTCTCAATGAAAATTGAATTCCATCCTTCGTGTTCATGCATGTATGTTTGCCATTTGTTGATGATTTGTTTGTAAGAGGAGAGTTTCCAGGGGATGGGTTTCCAAGAATTTTCGACACCTCCATCTATGTCTACGTGGTGAAAGGTGAAGACCATGTTGAGCTCTTTTGAGGATGGTTTTACGTATCGGGCGAGGATGGCGGGGTCGTGTGTCCAGGGGGTTTCTCCGACCGTCATTGCATCGTATTCTAGAGGACAGAAACAGGTTGAGCGTGCCGGGGAATGGATGGATGGTGTGTTTAACGTACTTGATATGACTTCCTCGTTCATTTCACGAAGGAATTCATGTACTCGGGGGCCATTCGGGATGCTGACGGGGAAAACGGTAAATCCAGCGTTCTCAAGCGGCTCGTCAGGTAAGCCTTCGGGTTTGGAAATAAGATTGATGACGTCCATCTACAAATAAGTGTCTCAGCTTTAGACCCCATTGAATGGGGACAGCGAGAAACGCACACGGAATCCTGAGACTTTATCGAGCCACCAGCGCATGAGTTCGTGCACGGCACGGCGGACTTCGATGTTTTCCCAGTTTAAGTCTGGTTGCTCTTTCAAGAAAAGATGAAGATAATATTCCTGTGTGTTCTCGTCCCACTCCCAAGCGGAGCCTGACAATGTGTGTGGAGTAGAAGAAAAACCGAAATGCCTTACCTCCCCATATTGCATCCCAGTTATTGGGAGGATGACGGTTCCCAGACCATCTATACGGGGGGCGCCAAATGTACCAGTCTCGCTTAGGGCTCAATTTCGAACTGCTAGATTCGAGAAACCAAGATGCTATGCGGTTGTCAGGTTCGAAATTCGAATAGGTATACTTTGTTGAGCGCGCACCAGGTGTGAGGTATGATTAACGACGAGGTCCATTAGAAGCTTTATCCCCTTTCCTTCATCGCCTTCAATAACTGGTGCATATCGTCTATATCGCCATAGCGGGGATCGAGGGAACAGTAATCAGAGATATCGTAGCCCATATCAAATTTGGGCTCCGATATATAGGACTGAGCCAATAACGTCTATTCCAAGTCTTTCAAATAATCTAGTTTCGATATGATCCCTTGGATATCGCCGATGCCATCGCCATTCGAGTCCTTGAAGGACATGGGGTATATTTGATATACATTGACTTCTTTCCACCTGGATGGATAATTAATGCGATAATAGATTGAGAGGTACTTGAGGACGCACCAGTCTCTGTTAGGCTGGACTTGAGACATTCAGATCCCCCAGATGAGGGAGCCTATAGTTTGATCGAGGATTGCGACTGCTTAGTTCGGGAAAAGCAGGAACGAGGCTGATTAGGAAGGTATGACATGGTATCGCAGAGGCGAGGCTCATATAAGCGCAGCGTATCTCATGCCCGCGACGTCCTTCTGAGGAACAATACGAAATTCTGGCGGAGAGTCGAAGTAGCACGCTGTTTGAGCACGGAACGCCCAATTGAAGACATGTGGGGGATTCAGGCCGTGGGAAGTTATGAATTTTAGGCATCCCACTGAATGAATGGCTTTTCCGCAAACACGCAATAAAAGTGGCGGCTTGGGGGGCAAGCCAAGTGTGATGGACTGGGCTCCAGGATTCAAGCGATGGAGTGCTGTGCCTTTGGAAAGCTAGCCGACATAGGGGACCCCGGGCTCTCATTTCGACATTTCGACAAGACTTGAACAACTTGCCATCACTTGGAGTGCAACGGACCTGTCTTCCATCTGAAATTTGCTGTTGGTCACATGTATCATGCTCATACCGTTCTCGGACACACTTCACGTTGCATGGCTTTCGCCATTTCTGATGTGGTCGTCGTTCGGAAATGCGACAAGTTTGTTAAGCCTACGGGATGTGCCATAGTGCTTTGAATCTATTCAGCACGATCTTGCTGTAGCTGTCATTCTGGATCTTGGGCAATTGTCTCGGATGCATCTCCCACCTATTCAGGGGGTCCTCCAAAGGAAACGTATAAGTACCAGCGGGGATGATCCCCCACCTGTTTTCCCTTCCTCAAGAGCCCCCTCATATCGAGAGAACTCAGACATTCCTTCACGTTCTGAAGAGACCTTGGCCACAGCTCATCCTCCCATCCAACTTACCCTCCCTACAATCCTTAATCATGCGTTCCTTCTCTTACCTCCCTTTCCTCGCTTTCGTCGCGTACTCTCCGCTCTCCGCTATTGCATCTCCTGTCGGGATCCCACCGCACGCTAGGAAGTGCTCAGGTACGTGTTTTACGCGTTGATTCAGTCTTTCGACGCGTGTTTCCTCACCTCCATCTTCAAGACTGCCATCCCAGCTCCGTCGTTGGCCTCACTTCTGATACTAACGTCAAGGCTGCTGTGGATGGAGTTGTCGGCTCGACTGGAGGCATCACGTCCACCACCAACCTCGACGCCACTCTTGACAAGCTCAATGTTGATGCCCGCCTCTGCCTTGTCATCGGTGGCACAGGTTGCGGCCATGAGCACCACACATCTCCTTCCCCGACCACTTCTTCGCACACATCAACATCGACATCAACGCCGACTCCAACTCACTCCTCATGCAATTCGGCTGGTATGATGCCTCAGCGTTCCCACTTACCTCTACCTGCTAATTCTGTCTTCTGTCTTCGTCACTGTCGAGACATTAGGATGCAACGAAATCGACATTTGGGTTTGGTTGAATGACCTCTATGCCAAGGTTATCGTCTACATTGACCTTCTAGGTACGTTTCCCTTGCTCTCCGTCGCTGGGCTCAGTGATGATATCTGCTGTTAGATGGAAAGAACGACCCTCACGAACCTTGCCTCAAAATCATTTCCGAGATTGACTCCGCCATTGCCCTTTTAGCTGACATCAAGATTGACCTGACTCATGACCATGGGAACAAATGTAACGACATTATTGGTCTCCTCATCGATCTTGTAGTGGTAGGTATCCCCCTCGTGCTTGTTTCTCGCTCTTAGTTCTTGCACAGAAACTTGTTGTGGGCTTGTCCAAATACAGCCTTACCGTCAGCATAGGGATCCTGACTAAGCTGGACATTTGCCTCTGTAATCTGTTCATCGCTTTGAACGTGTTACATCAACGGTAGCGAAGCTCTTCGGAAATTCGTAAGTAAACGTGAAATTCTCTCGTCGGTGTGCGCTGATATATTGCCGCTAACAGTCTCACTGATTTGTCGATATTCATCAAGCTCGCTTCGCTTGACCCTCAAGATTTGCGGGCTACTATGAGTTCTTTCTCCAACACCTTCATTACATAGCATCTCTCTTTGGGCTCACTTCAACCTTTAAACTTGCCAGTTGTCAACCATTTGCACCTCAGCGGGTGCGCAGCCATTGTCGATCGGTGGGCCAGCCTCACGCTGACATCTACTAGAACATCCACGGAGGTTCTTCAATTTTTTTTTTCATTTCCACCGTGCAGCTTTCCCTTTCCTACGGGCTTTTTAGTCCGCCTGTTTGGTCTATGACTTTCACTTTCAGCGGGCTGGCACTGCGTGCAGTCTCTCTTCTCTTCTTATGTCCGTGTATGTTAGAGGATATGCATATAGGTCTACTCCGTGACGGTTACGTAGTAGGCAGGATACGATTGGGGAAACTATTGGCCGAGCTTGCGTAAATTGTTTAACTGCTCAATTGATTTGGTCTGAATTGCCCCGCGTCGCCACGTGAGTCCTGTCGCTCCTGGACCGACGTTTCACGCAAGGTTTCGCGCTTCTACATCATGATTTTGCGATCTCCTCCACCGAAGCGGCGGGCTGCTGCAGTCGTAACTAGCAATAATGGCGCATCTGGGAGCTTACAAACGCCAAGAACTGACCAAATTCCCAATGGCATCCACGAGCTTCATCACGCGTCTCAGAACGGCTTTGGAAAGGGGAGAACAAGTATTGTATCTGACTCAACGCTGCGCGAATCTTCACGAGCGCGTTCTGTTGGTCCTGTGGAGTTGCCTCAGCCTATTCCATTATCCACGACTAAACGGGGCCAATCTCCTGTTGCCAATGGCAACAGCAAACCGCGGTTCAACGGATTGGAGACATTCCGTTCTCCTGCTTCTGATCCTACTGAGGCCCGTATTGCGTATTATGATGAACGGATTAGGGAAGTCATCGCGGAGAGGGACAAGGTGCTGAAATTTGCGAAGGAAGTAGAGCAGTCAAAGATTATTGCTCTGAAGGAGGTCAAAGAGGCGTTCGGCGTTGAGAAGAAACAATGGATGGATATATGTGATGCGGTGCGTTCCAGCTTTCTTTTCCCGGGTATGTCAGTGTATATTGATTTATGGTTTGTGTTTCTAGCTTCAGACGGTGCATAATTTTGCGCATGGCGGGCCCAGCTTGAGCTTGACGAGGAGAGGCTGCGATATTACGATGAGCATGGGTCGTTCGTCCGTCAGTCTAAGATTGATATTTTAATGAGGGATCATAAAATACATCAGTTTCAAAGCGCGGAGTTTTGGCTACTGCATGATAAGCGAGAGTTGGAGGTATGTGGGACATTCCTTTTCTGTTCCTAATGTACTCTTCTGCGGCTTTGGAATCGATACTAAGTTAGTTCTCTAGGAGGAGTTGAAGGAGAGGGAGGAACGGATCGTGGAGCTGGTGCAGGAGATTGAGGATGAACGAGAGGAAAACGCACTGGAGCGTGACGCCGAGGTTCAGCGGCTTGAACAGAATCATCATGAACTGGACACTGCACACTACTCTGCGCCGACAGAAAGAAAATCTCGAAGTCTGTTCATTCATTTGTCTCTATCACCCCTAACCTAACACCTAATTCTTGTGACAGGCAAATTGAAGCACGAAAGAGAAGCTCTCGAGGATGTGAAGGCCAAAATTGGTGATTTGGAGGGGAGACTGGGACGCACGCAGTTGCAGCTAACTTCGGCTCAGAACGAACTTTCGCGAAGGATCGTGAGATTCAACCTGGCATCGTATGGAGAAGAAGGACGCCCGTGAATTGGACGAATTGCGGAGGGAGAGGGTCGATGTGGGTCTCCGATTAAGGAGATGGAGGACAGTGTGAAGCAGGGCGAGCAAGAGGCGCGGGTTGAGCGAGAAAGGATCGAGGCTAAGGCGAAGAAGGAGAAGAAGACCCTCGAAAAGAGGATCAGTCAACTCGAGGTTTGGTTGATTTGTTGACTTGTCTTTTCGTGCTGCTTACCAGGTGTTGTTCCCCAGGCTCAGCTGGAAGAAGTGAGGGAAACAATACTTGCTACAGCAGCATCACCAGAGCTAGGTGGAAAAAAACAAGAGCCCACTCCGACCCCACCTCCTCAGTCACAACCCAAATCACGCCCGCGGCGGCCTGTCAGACGCAAATCGCCGGAAGCTCAAGATGTTGCAACGGATGATAGCGAACGGGAAGTTCAACAACCTGCGGTACCCAAGAATGCGAAGAAACGCAAGGCAGATCGAGCTGAGCCTGAGCTGAAAGCTCCGGTCATTCCCAAGAAAAAACGAAAGTTGGGGTGGACTTGGAAGCACGTTCATGGCTCCGGCATTCACTGATGATGTCGTCACTTTCATTGCTTCGCTCAGCCTGGTGCTTATTCCTGTTTTTAGAATGAGTTTGGTGCTCTTTCGCCTGCTGTGGCTCGTGTACCACCCCGATCTATTACTGGAATTTCAAAGTAGCATTCGCTGTGACCCGCACTTTACAACATCTCTTATTCCGTTGGTACAATTTTTTTGGCATCTTGTTGAGTTATGGACATTGTTGTTGAACAATCTAGTATAATCTCTCGACATGTACATGAATGGGACTGC